TTATTATTATTATTATTATTATTATTATTATTATTCTTGCGTACATGTTATTGTAAGTGGCTCGCTTTAGCCTTGTCACAACTTCATCGAGGTTAGGCTCGGCACTTACAGACCACATGAGGTCGGTTGTACTCATACTACACTCTGTACTTATTGTGCAGATACCAGAGTTGGTCCCGACAATGTTCAGTGAGGTCGCCTGGATCTAGATACTAGCGGAGACTTGAGGTATAGCTGCACGACGTTCACAACCCTAAAGTCCCCTTCTATACCATCATAGCTGTTTATTTTGATTCAGACATATATATTTTTATTCAGACTATTATTTGTGGTACTCTAGTCGCTCATGTATTCGTGACACTAGTTCTGGGATTGTATTTGGATTTTGTCGTTTATTATTTTTTACCTTATTTTAGACTACTCAGCTTTATTGTGGTAAATTGAGTTGGATTGTTAAAAATGGTTCTTAATTATATCTAACATTGGTTTGCCTAACAAGTAAAATGTTAGGTTCCATCACGGTCCTGAGGGTGGAAATTCCATATCCTGACAGTGCCGCCTGAGGTTGCGTCAAGTGAAAGGCTTACATCCCAAGAATTATCTGTTACTGAGGCGAGCGAAGATGAAGTGGAGTTTGTCTAAGGATGTCTCGCACGGTAAAGATTGGGTTATTAAGGTATATGTGGGGATGGACGTCGTGGAGATTTTTGCCCAACGCGTAGGAAAGGTGGAAGGCACCTTTAGCGTTCTTGAGGGGCACACTCTTGAAGACATTGAGAGCATCCGAAATAACTTGGGAGGATGTACGAATGCTAGGATAGAGCTAAGGCAAACCATCACTGCCTTGGAGTGCAAACTCATGGAGGCGTTGAGCATTATCGATGCTAGGAAGGCGAAGCTAGAGTTACTAGAGGAGTATGTCTACGCTGACATGACCGAGGCAGCCAACAATATTATTGTAATGAGGGAGGCAAAGATCGAGGCTCTTAAACCACCGATGTTCAAAAGTGTTTATTTTTCGAGGCTCTCATTCGTAATATACTCTCTTATCTTTGGTGTTCCTTTATCCCTAGAGAAATCCACAACAATAACTATGCCCCAATCAAATAAGTTGGGGTCGACATATGAAACCTCGCGGACAATATTTCTCCATTTAAAATCATCTCCCAAACTGTTCGTCCATGTGTTCAAGCAGTTTAACATTTTGAGGGTACCTACTTTTCTCAGAGAATAAGACTACAAGGAAGAAGTCCAATAGTTTAACAATAATATTCACATATTTCGGTCCACGTATGTTTTTAAATTTATTATCTCGACCTCAAATAAAAGTCTGTCAAATGCCCAATTATGTCGGAGTATTAACTTGAGTTACCCGTATCTTTAGCATAATGTATCAGGTAAACTTACTACGGTACCTAGCAACATGATTAATTCATGACAGGAACAAAAATAAATGAAATTAATTTTTGGACAACCTGTGTTAATAAGTAATTTGAGTTTTAAATTTAATGTTTAATTTTCAGTTGTGACTAATGCCTTGGTGAATTGATGCTACAATCCAAAATAAAAATCTTGTTATTCTAAACTAGAAGCATATTGTGAAAGTCTGGAGTAGCTATTCCATTTGTTCAACTGAAAAATATGAATATGCAATTATGCATCACAAACACAAATAAGGTTGTCCCAGGTAAGTAGGTAAAAATAGCACGGGCTAGTCAGTTTTCGGACGGGTCATTCAACAATAGCCAGAGTTTGCAAAGTCATTGAAAAATAGCCACTATTTTGCTGCAACACGGAAAGTTTGTTGGAGATCGGTGCACCTGTGTATGAACTTCCAGCATATTATACTGGACCGATATATTATACTGGAGCTCCAGTATATTATGCTGGAGTATTTTCCGGATTTTGAACAGTGTTTTCGTTCAAATTTATCTTTATATAAAAAGTGACTAAATTTCGATTACTTTTTGAATCTGTGGCTATTTTTGGATGACTACTTGTAAATCTGGCTATTTTTTAATTTCTCCCGGTAAGTAGTTAGTGCCAATGGCCCAAACATGTAGAACTAAGGATTAAAATACAAACCTACCATATTATGAGCAAATAGTCGTCCTGAAAATCAAGAGCTAATTTAGTTGAATATTTTGGATTTCTCCAAGAAATAATTATGCATGAGAATAAAAAATACTTCCCACTAAGAAGTTTCATAACAAGACACAATAAAATCATGAAAATAAAGAAATAACAAATAACCAGAGACTAAAAATATCATATTGTTTATAGTAGTAGATATCATTCGCAGTGGTGCGGTACCGAAGCAACATCTCATTCTCTCTGTCTCCTAAAATTAAAAGTTAGCCTAAGAGTATTTCTATCATTTTAGGTATTCAGTTCATCACTGACTTTACGTTACCTAGGGCTGTTAAGTGGACCTAGTCAACTCGGTTCCGTCCCGGGTCCGGTTCCGCCCGGTCCTATTAAGTCATTAGGGAAGATGGATGGGGTATAGGCGGGGTCGGAAAGAGGAATGACTGGGTGTTGGACCCGTTTAGACTGACTCGACCGACCCGCTAAAATCCAGTCCAAACTGATCGCGTCTTGACCCAGAACGAGCTCAACTAAAAGAATTTCTTTTTAAAAAATTTTGGTAGAAATACAACGGCTATTTTTGCAATTTAGTCATTGGACAACGGCCCTTAACAACCAAAATGGCCCCAACCCAGAACATCCTCTGCCACCCATAATTTATCTTTAACTCTAATTCTAAACTATAAATACCTCTTCAACTTCTTTATTTTCTCACACAAAACACTCTACTATCTCTCTAATCTTACTACTTCTCTTTCTAAAATTGCTATTATGCATTAAAGTAATGAAGTTATTTTTGGCTAAATAAAGTATTAAAGTTATTCTTGGCTAATTACTATTAAGTTTTTAGAACTAGGTTAGGATCAATTGAGCAAATATTAATTATCAACATCTATCATACATTGGCGTTTACATCGGTGTTTGGTATATTCTTTCATCTGTATATATACGATTGTACGTTACATTGGGAGTAAATAATAAAACGACTGAAATAATTTGGCAGATAAATTAACAAATATGAATTTTTCTAGACTTTAAACTTTGGATGTTAAAAATAAAACAAAAAAATTAGAAATAATAAGCATTAAAAAAAATCAAAGTGCACCTAATATTTCATGAGATTGCATTTATTTCAATTGTTCAATGAAATAACATGTAAAAAATGATCTAATGCACTACATTTTATTATTTGTCAACTTGCAATCTCACTTTTTTTTTGTGTTCTAATTTATTTGTCCTATTAAAAAACAACAAAAATCTCAATGGAAAATAAATCATACTTATAAAAAAGTTACATCTTACCTATTTGCTGTAAAAAAAAAATCATTTCTCTCCAGTTAGGCAACCAGTAGTCGGGAAATATGTGAAATTTTGTCAACCCACGCTTTTCATTGATTTTTAGTAGCATCTAAAAATATATTGTTAAACTCTTTAATTGCTTGATCAAATGAAGGACCATCAAATAAAAATGAAAGAGCTTTATTACTGTAAAATTTCTTCACTCTAAGAAAGCAATACCTAGAAGGTCCACCGCTATCATCACAGTTGGTCGGCGTCTCGTAGATTAGAGCATATTGATACCTGCAACAAAATAGTCCTTATTAAAAGTACGCCATAAGAAAAAATGGTCAAATAAAGTAAAAGAAATTTTGTTGGCTCTGATACCACAGTATAAGAACAGAGCAAGAGACTTCACGAAAATATGGTTTGACTAGTTTTGGAGCGACGGACATCTGTTTAAGGTGTTAGAGTGGTGTTGGAGCCGGTTATGGAATTTTGGAGCAAGGTAAGTCTCTTGTCTAACCCTGTGAGGGGAAATTTACACCGTAGGTGTAATATTCTTATGTGCTACATGTTGTGGGAGCTACACACATATGAGGTGACGAGTGTTTGTGCGTATGCTAGAATTCCTGATTATGTTCGGGTAGACTTAGGTTCCTGCATGCTATAATTGTACTTGCTCGATTAATTTCTTTATTTCATGTTACGACTTGAGACTAGACTTGCATAGGGTGATAGACTCGCTATTGTAGAGATGTGATGAGCTACTTGATAATCTGCGGAATAATTAGAGCTTCCCTTATGAATTCCTCCCGCATTGTGCGTTTTCATCGCAAAGCTTTCCTTAAAGTTCATAACTCACACGTTTATTCGTGAGTGGGGTCAAGGACCCGTTAAAACTTCTTAATCTAATAGGATCTGGCCGATCGCCTCGGCAAGATTATGTACTACACTCTCATAGGAGCGCATTGTTCGCCTCGGCAGTATAATAGATGCATCTATGGTTCTTGTCGTTCGACCCTCGGTGATGTACATATTATTATGGGATCGGGTTGTACGTCTAGGCATTTCTATAAAATACTCTTATGGGATCGGTTTGTTCGCCTCAGTAGCGTCGTGAGTAATATATTACAAGAAACCAGCGTATCTGTGTGTTTTCCTTATTTGAGTTATGACGACCTATCTGCGAGGTCCATTTTATATATACTCCGGTTGAGGAGGGTAACTGATAGTTGAGAGCTTAAATCTACTATTTAGAGGAGGATTGTACCACGTACATATATTTGTTTATACTGTTTATTACCCTGTCATATATTTGTTTACTTCCTACTGTATTTGAGTTATTATACCACTAGTAAGTGTCGATGTCGACCTCTCGTCACTACTTCTCCGGGGTTAGTCTAGATACTTACTGGGTACGCGTTAATTTACGTACTCATGCTACATTTGTTGCACTTATTATGCAGGTACATATATATGTTTGGTGGTCTTTTGGGCACAAAGGTGCGGCTGTTGCGGGGACTTTACGGTGAGTTGCATTCCATGTTACTATCCGCAGCATAAGGAGTCTCCATTAGAGTTATTTATATTCTCCTGCCTAACTTGTATTCCAGAAAGATGTTTATTATTATTGTACTCCTTAGTAGATGCTCATGCACTTGTGACACCAGGTTTTGGGGGTTCCTACTGGATGTTCGTTGTTGTAGTTCACGTAATTGTTACCATTTCACCTTGTAATTTATATTTTATACGAAAATTGGAAAATAAAATCACGGGTTTTCTACGAGTACCAGATTTTACTCTACTTATTTAATGGGATTCATGATTCTAAAAATAATAAAATGAGTAACTAAGTTGATTAATCATCGCTGGCTTGCCTGATGGCGGCGTTAGGCGCCATCACGACCTACAGTGAATTTTGAGTCGTGACATAAAGTATAAAAACAAAGAAATGACAAATAATTAGAGATATAGAATACCTTTTTGCTTATGGTAGATATCCTCTGCAGTGACGTGGTGCTGAATCAACATTTCATGCTCTTTACCTCCTAGAATTAAAATTTAGCCTGGGGGATACTTCTGTCATTTTCAATATTCAGTTGATTGCTGATTCTACGCTTTCTAGGGCTCTCAAGTGGGCTTGGTCTGCCCGGTCCCGTCCTAGGTCCATTCCCGATCTTGTCTCGGGTCCAATCCGATCTCGACCAATCCTGTGGTACCGATAGAGTAATTGGATGGGGAGTAGGCAATCTCGAAAAGGGGATGGGATATGGTGTTGGTCCTGTTTGAACCGGCTCGGTTGGCCTGCTTCTAGTCCAGATCGATCTCATCCTGGCCTAGACCGGGCTCGACTAATAAAGTATTTTGTTAAAAATTTCTGGCAGAAAATAGCCATTATCCAATGGCTATTTTGTACCTACCAAAATGGTCCACCAAAATACCTCATACATGATGGTAGGCTATAATCTCGTATTTTAGTCGCTTATTGTACTCCAATTTACTGTACTTTATTCGTTTTGAGCTTTAATTGATAGTGTTCTTCACTAATTGTATGTTGTATGCCTTGCAGGAGTGATTCCGAGCTATGTAGATGTTATAGAATGAATTCGAGTAATTTGGAGCTTTGAAGTCTGAGTAAAATCCCAAGGGATTAAGCCGGGATCATGTTCGGGGGTCGAGGACCAAGTCTGAACGTCAAAAATTGAGATTTGAGTTGTACTCCGAGAAAAGTGCACTAGTGCGGCACGTGGAGCGCCGCGGCTGTGCAAATTTCCTGCTGATTGTCAGAACTAGCTCTCTGGATTTCCCCACTAATGCCCCGCATGACGCGTCTCCCCATGCGGCACGCCTGTGCAATTTTTACAGAGTAACAATCCTATTTCGACTAGGGGAAGGTGATTTCCTCTGGTCCCGACCCTACTTGGTATAAATACATAAAAAAATATTATTTTCTAGACTTTTGACATACTTTAAACCTAAGGAGGCTAAGTAGGAGTTGGAAGAATACGAGCACAAGGATTTCATCATTCCTTCCTCACTCAAAACCCGAGTTTGGATCGAATTTATGTTTTTCTATACTTTAATTATATCTGTGATGAATTAATCCATATCTATGGAGTAGTTCTCTTTAGGGTTTGATGGATTTGGTATATTGATGATTGTTTGTGGATTATAACTCTAGTTTTATGTATTGAAGCATTTTTGGATGATTTAATTGTTGCATCTATATTTAGCTGTTCATGTAATCGAGAGAGGCATAACTTTTGATATCTTTGCGTTATATTGGTTGTTGAGTTCATTAATTCTTCTTAGTAATCGAAAGTGGCTAGTTGAATCATTGATTAAATCTAGTTAGGAGGATAATTGAGAGAGGTTCTCCTAAAGACCATTCCACTACGCATTCTTGCATATCTTCACGTGCTTAAATTGGTTCATCTTGTGAGGTTAAGACTTAATCGAGAGAGGAATTTTTGCTGAACGTTTGAACTAATAATTAAGTAAATTCGAGAGACTCACTTAAACATTAGAAGTGAATTATCTAGAGTTAGATCCCAAACAATTATCTTGCACCTATCCTATCAACCCCTATTTTCTCCCATTGATAGCTTTCTTGCTTATCTTTGTTGCAATAGTCATTAGTCAATAGCTTTAGATTCTTAGCAAATTTTAGTTATTAATCATATAAATCTCAATTGTTGATTCTACTGGATAGCAATCAAGCTAGAAACTGTGAAAATATTGTTTAACTCTAATCCTTGTGGATACAATATTATACTATACTATCTTTGACTAGCGAGCATAATTTAAATGTGTGTTTCGAGCTCGTCAATACACTACACAATTTATTTTTAATCCCTAAGTTTATAAAATTATATAATTTTAATCTATAAATACCTCTTCATATTCTTTATTTTTTTTTTTACAAAAAACTCTCCATTATCTTTCTAATCTCGCTCTCTCTCTTTCTAAAATTACTATTGTGCATTAAAATAGTAGAGTTATTTTTGGTACTATTTGATGCTACTTTTTCTTTTACTTGTTATTTTTGTTGTTGTTGTTGCTATTCTTGTTGTTTTTGTTGTTGTTGTTGTCTTTTTTTCCTTCTCCTTATCGTCCTTTGTCTCCCTATTCTTTCTTTATTCTTCTTCGTCTTCTTCACTTCTCTCTCTTTTCACCTTTTCTTGAGCCGAAGGTCTATCGGAAACAGCCTCTCTACCTGGTCAGGTAGGGGTAAGATCTGTGTACACACTATCCTCTCCAGACCCCACTTGTGAGATTATATTGGGTATGTTGTTGTTGTATTTTTGGTTAATTAAAGTATTGAAGTTATTTTGACTAATTAATATTAATTTTTTGGAAATTACGAGTTAAGTTGGTAACTAGTTTGGGGTCGATTTAGCAAGTTTCAACTATCAACATCAATTATATGATGTCGTTCAGTACAATCTCCTATCTCTATCTCTTTAATTATTGTTATATAATTTTAATAATAGTACTTACAACAACAACAATAACAACATACTCAGTATAATTCCACAAATGAGGTCTGGGGAGGGTAGTGTGTACGCAGACCTTACCCCTACTTGGAAAGCTAGAAAGGTTATTTCCGATAGACACTCGGCTCAAGATAAGGTGGAAAGGAAGAAAATGGNTCAGGGAGCGACAATTTTCAGTAGCAATTTTCAAGTATCTTGGGTCTATAATCCAAGGCAACGGGGAGCATGGATGAGGAAGAGTAGAGGTCGTATAGGGAGTGTTATAAGAAGGCAAGGAGAGAGGCGAAGCTCGCGGTCACGGCGGCTAAGACTGCAGCTTTTGAAAGATTGTATGATGATATTGGGGGCAAATGAGGGGATAGGAAGTTGTACAAGTTAGCCAAGATTAGGGAGAGAAAGGCTCGGGAATTGGATCGAGTGAGGTGCATCAAAGACAAAGATGGTAAGGTATTAGTGGAAGAGGCATGTATCAGGCGTAGATGGCAGGAGTACTTCCATAGACTTGTAAACGAGGAAGGGGATAGGAACATCGTGTTGGGCGAGTTGGAGAACTCTAAGAGTCGAGAGATTTTGGGTTTTGTAGACGTATTAAGTGCGAGGAGATTGATGTGGCAATACGGAAGATGAGCAGAGGTAAGGTGACTGGTCCTGACGAGATCCCAGTGAAATTTTGGAAAGTGGCGGGTAGGGTAGGCTTGGAGTGGCTTACTAGCCTGTTTAACGTCATTTTCAAGACGAAGATTGGAGGTGGAATTTGATGATTTTGTTGTACAAAAACAAAGGTGATATCCAGAACTGCAATAATTATAGGGGTGTCAAGCTACTGAGTCACACTATGAAGGTTTGGGAGAGGGTGGTGGAGCAGAGAGTGAGGACAGGTGCATCTATCTCTGAGAACCAGTTCGGATTTATGTTGGGATGGTCAACTACATAAGCCATTAGCTTCAAATACATCGCTTTCTTAGCTTTCACTTTTCCTTGGACCTTCCCATTCCACCACCAATCCCTTTTGTGGTTTAACAATAGTACTTAGTTTTATTATAATGTCTAATTGTTTTAGTGGAAATAGAGGTTAGGGAAGGGTCGGTGAATCTAGTAATACTAATCCTATAGATGATTATACTCACGTAGATAAAATCGATTATTTTAATATTAATCCTAATGGGCAATCACTAGATCACGAACTCAAAGGCTGTAGAATTTGGTGAATATAATGAAGAAAATTTAGATGATGATATACCACTAGTCCAAATCCAACAACAACTTCAACTTAGACTCAATCTCCGTCTGGACCACCTCCTATACCTCCCACTAAAAGTAGATTGTATTATACTTTTTTTCTCATTCATATTGAAAAAAAATTCTGCTTCTGTTCCGAGAATTATACTTAGTCGAACCTCGTTAAATTCTTGTGTTATTTTTTTCTATTTGTTTTACGTGTGAATGTGTGCTAGTTAATCCGCGATCTTCTGTGATATTTAAAGTTGAACCAGATAAATTCAAACTAGCAAACACTTTACTTCCTCCAGTGGACTATTAGGTTAACTAAACAAAGCAAAGGGTATATATTTTCATTTTGTTTTTCTACAGTTGTTAGCTTTATTCATCTTGTATTACCACTTACCACCAAAAACTATTCTTTAAATCGTCAATCTTCAAAATATAAAAGCAACTATCCAAACACATTAGTATATTTTTTCAACAAAACGTTCCTCAAAAACTTTTTTCCAACAGTTATCTAAACGACTCGAAGAAGTTTCAAAAGCCAAAATGAGAAGTTGGGTTTTTTTCCGCTCAAATAATGTCTTCTATTGCTAATGTATAAGTTGATAATATAAGATTTCTTGTACATGCATCAATATTTTGGGAATTATGCTAACTTTAGAATCCATTCAATAAAAGTATGGTTTTCTTAATAAAATACACCATAGATGTATTTTCACTCTCTATGACCAACACCCTGCTTCCAACACAATACAAGGAGGGACATGGTAATGGCTGAGAGGATTCCACTTGGCAGCACATAGACCACTAGCCTAGGAATTAATCAAGGGTGTCCCTCGGACAAGGGATAATACATAATTACCCCATTGATGTTGTTCTACTTTATCAGTTGCACCGTCAAACTTTACGGGAGTCCTATGATCTCTTATCTTTGTTCGAAGTGGTATAAGTACCACCTTTTGAGCCCACGTGGCATCTAAATTATTTTTCACGAAATTTTAGCGCGTGGAATGGAAAAACAACTCCCAACTCTGTTTATTTATCATTTTCACTTTTTTTAATTTAATATCCTTTTACTTTTTCTTTTTTTTTTTCTTCTATTTCTTCTCTTCATCTTTCTCCTTAACAAAATACCCAACAGAAGCCAATGCCTAGCACTAAGAAGTCATGTTAACTGGAAAAAAAATCCAACGCTAAAGACCAACAAATTAGCAATAACCCAATGAAAAAAGATACCAAGTGGGGATATATAAAACTGAGGAAGGGATTTCAGTTTTGAAAAAAAAATTACCATTTTTTCCGATGACTATCTCGTCGGACTTTTTCACCTTTTATGAATGTTATAACTCCTAATTCTTTGGTAGCGGACCTCTTTGATAGTTCGACCGTTATCCCCCGTTTCGCCGTTTCTGTTACAAAAATTCTTCCCATCCATCCTAAAAATCATCTTTAGTGCCTTGTTTCTCTTCTTTTCTTTTTCTTTTTCTTTTCGTAATTTTTCACCGGAAAAAATGGCCGGTGAGTTCGGCGTATTTTAAATAATGAGGGAATATTTAAAAGGGAAGAAGAAATGAGTAGGGAGGTGGAATGGAACTAAGAATCCAAAAGAAAAATATATTCAGTTGGGGGCGGGACGATGAAGGAGACTTAAAGGGGTGGGGTGGGGGAAGGGCGTTTGGGAGATAAAGAAAAGGAAGATACAATAAATAATTAATAAAAAAGAAATATGATTGGTTCGTGTCAGATACAATTTTAGCTGAAACTGGTGTTAGCCATGAAAGGTGGTATTTATTATATTTCAAATAAAGCTAAAGGGGTCATAGGACCCCCGCAAAGTACAAGGGTGCAACTGATAAAGTGGGACAATCCCAATGGAGTAATTATGTATTATCCAATTCGAATAAATGGACGAATACTCCCCCCTCCCTGGATTCATTACCATACCTAGGGGTGGCAAGTGGGCCGAGCCCTAAATAGGCAAGTGGGCCGGGCCGAGTCCCGGGCTAATGGGTCGGGCCCGCGGTCCCAACAGACTAAACGGGCTCAATGGCTAAGCAGTAATTTAAAAAAAAAAAATTAAATAGAAATTAGAGACAAAAAGATGTTAAAAAAAATATCTAAGGCAATGCCTTGTAATTTTATTATAGCAATAAAAAATATGGCAATATCTTTCTTAGTCTTCCTCCCCCTATGGAATGAGCACAACAAGGTGCTAATACCACAATTGAGAAGAAAAAGAAACTAATCAAGATGTGCCAAAATACAAGTTACATAATACATACTAATTTTTGTTCATACAAGTTACATGTTATCTCTTACAAAATTCATAAATCCTTCATGGTTCGGAGGGAGTTCCGTTGGTGGTAGCGAAAAAGTAGCTTGGTCATCGCCGCTTCCATTGTTAGGCGAAGCAGCATCCTCAACAAGTTCAGCTAGCATTTCTTCATAAGCTTCGTCTACCTCTGGTTGTGATTCAGCAAGTCCAAAATTTCTTCTTTCCGAACGGATCCAACCTCTGAAAAGTACTGATTTTTCCAAGCTCTCACTCATAGACACTCTATAATCATCAATTTGAAGTCTTGCTTGACTAAAAGCCCTCTCCGATGCCACAGTTGAAGCTTGAATAGTTAAAATATCTCGGGCCATCCTTGAAAGAACCGAAAAGTATTTTTCTTTGTCCTTCCACCATTGCAAAATATTAAAGGGATGTTATCTCAAGGGCCTGGTTAGGCTCTTCTTGTTGGAGTATCCTTGCTCAGAGGCTAAAATGCGTCGGGATTCACTTGTCACGACCCAATTTCCCCTCTGTATGATGTTGTGACGGCACCTAGTCTCTATGACTAGGTAAGCCTAACATTTGCAGAATAATGAAATAAAAACATGAATTAAACAACTAACTGTTCAAAATACATAGTAATCCCAAAACTCAAAACATCGTAAGTCACAAGCTACAGAAGGAAACTAGTATCTCTATACACCAGAGTCTAATAACAGAAGTAAGGAAAGTAAATGACATAGGGGGGAATAGAATGGGACTCCGAGGTCTGCGGACGCGGTAGATATACCTTGAAGTCTCCGTACAGTAGCAAGCACTCTCAGCTAGTAGCGGGGCTGATAAGAAATACCTGGATCTGCACGCAAAATATGTGCAGAAGAGTAGCATAAGTACACCACAATCGGTACCCAGTAAGTGCCAAGCCTAACCTTGATAGAGTAGTGATGAGGTCAGGTCCGGGCCCTACTGGAATATGATAATAAAGCAAGACAAAAATAAAATATCGCAGTAAAATAAAGACTGAAATTTAACAAGAAAGAATTTATAGAAGATAATAGCTCAATACACAGAAATACAACAGGGGATCTCCCGAGATACCGTCTCGTCGTCCCAAACGTAAATGTGTAGGGGGATCTCCTAGAATACCATTCCGTAGTCCCAAAGTAAATATGCAAGACAGGGGGATCTCCCGGAATACCGTTCCGTAGTCCCAAAGTAAATATGCAAGATATGGGGATCTCCCGTAATACCGTTCCTAGTCTCAAAGTAAATATGCAACATATAGGGAACTCCCGGAATACCGTTCCGTAGTCCTAAAATAAATATGCATTACAGGGGGATCTCCCGGAATACTGTTCCGTAGTCCCAAAGTAAATATGCAAGATAGGGGGATCTCCCAGAATACCGCTCCGTAGTCCCAAAGTAAATATGCACTACATGGGGATCTCCCAGAATACCGCTCCGTAGTCCCAAATTAAAAATGCAAGACATGGAGATCTCTCGGAATACCGTTCCGTAGTTCCAAAATAAATATACAGTACAGGGGGATCTCCCGGAATACTGTTCCGTAGTGCCAAAGTAAATATGCAGTACAGGGGGATCTCCCGAAATACCGTTTCGTAGTCCCAAAGTAAATATGCAGTACAGGGGGATCTCCCGAAATACCGTTTCGTAGTCCCAAAGTAAATATGCAGTGCAAATAATAGAAATACAACTACATCACGAAATCTTACGATTTAGACTAAGTACGAGGAAGAAGTAGGAAATTCACTAAGCATGATGCACAGAGTTCACATAAGCAGTTAAGATACGTAGACATGTTGTATTAGACTAAACAGGATAGCTATACATATTGGAATAACTCAATTAAGAATGAAAATAGATTGATACTCATTAAAATAGTATAACTCAAAATAAAAGGAAAATAGGTTGCTGCTCAGTAAGAAAATTGGGTTTTTCCACAACTAGCCCGTGTACGTACTCGTCACCTCACGTACACGGCGCTCACATATCACAATAGTTCCAAATCTTAAGGGGACTTCCCCCACACAAAGTTAGACAAGCCACTTACCTCGAGTCAAGCTCAATCAATCCGTAAGAATGCCCTTTCCTCGATTATCCGACTCCGAATGGCCCAAATCTAGCCAAACACAATTGCATATCATAAATACAACTATAATAGACTAATCTAATTAATGAAATCAAGATTTTTAATAAAAATTTCGAAATCCGTCCTAAAAAGTCGACCTAGACCCACGTCTCGGAATCGGGTAAAAGTCACAAAATCCGAATGTCCATTCACTCACGAGTCTAACCATATCAAATTTATAAAAATCTGACACCAAATGGTCTTTCAAATCCATAAATCAAACTTTCTAAATCCCTAGCCTCCAACTCCCAATTTTCACCTTAAATATATACTAACTAGGTGGGAAAATAAATGGGGAAGCAAGATTATTGATCAAAAATAAGCACAAGGGACTTAACTCAAGAAACTCCTCAAAAATGCTCTCAAGAAATCGCCAAACCCGAGCTCAAAATGTTGAAAATGAGCAAAAATCGCGAACCTTTGCATTTAAGTGTTCTATCCAGACATCTCGCACCTGCGGACTCTCTGTCGCATCTGCGACTATCGTAGGTGTGGAAATGCATCGCACCTGCGGATCCCCTTCGCACATGCGCCCAGCTTCCCATATCTGTGACTCTCGAAGATGCGGGAAAAATCTTCGCACCTGCGGTTCCTGCCCAACTCCTTCTTGGCCGCATCTGCGGCTCCTCCTTCGCACATGTGATCCCGCACCTGCGGTCTCCCCTCTGTAATTGTGCAAACATCAGATACCAGAAAATCTCCAGCAACTAGCCTAAGTCCAAATTCAATCCGTTAAGCATCCGGAACACACCCGAGGCCCCCGGGTGTCACGACCCAAAAACCTAACCTGTCGTGATGGCGCCTATCGTGGAACTAGGCAAGCCGACTCATTCCAAAACAAACCGATATCTTCATTTCAAAGATAATTTCAAGGCTATTTAGCGTAAAAATAAACTTTGTAAAGGAGTTCAAATCAAAACAAAAGTGCAGAAAAGAAAAGCCCGACATCGGGGTGTCACTAGTCATGAGCATCTACTACAATCTGTCTAATAATATCAAGACTAACTCAGCCTGGAAAATAGCTAAATACAACTAAAGGAAGATAAGAGGGAGAAGAGTAGGGCTGCAATTGCCAGGCAGCTACCTTGATATCCCCGGGAAAAATATGCAACCGGAATAGTCAACAGCTACTACCCTGTCCAAATACGCCTGAATCAGCACACAAGGTGCAGGGAGTAACGTGAGTACGACAATTCAGTAAGTAACAATAATAAATAAAGACTGAGCAGTAGTGACGAGCAATAAGCATATAAAGTTTATATCATGAAATCTCAGTAAAATACCACATGCTTTTAAAATCAGGGTTTGAATCAAAACATCTCATTTAAACCCAGTTCCAGTAAAATTATTTAAAGATATTTTTCAACAGTTTTCAAACAAGGCTCAATGCAAGGTGAGCAAAAATGATGAAATCATAAATAGCCCCTCGGGCAAAACATCACTCATATACAGCCTCTCGGGCAAACCTCACAGTCACTCATGCCTCTCAGGCATACCTCACAATCACTCATGCCACTCGGGCATACCTCACAAGCACTCATGCCTCCCAGTCACTCAGCACTCGGCACTCGCACTCAGTAGGTACCTGCGCTCACTGGGAGTGTGTACAGACTCTGGAGGGGCTCCTTCAGCCCAAGCGCTATATCAAGTCAAATCATGGCATAAATCACTCATGCCCTCGGCCTATACCAAACATGCTGCGGCGTGCAACCCGATCCTATAAATATCCTTACATATCAGGCCCTCGGCCCACTCAGTCATAAACCTCTCAAGCCACTCGAGCATTTCATTAAAAACAAGGTACTCAGCCCAAAACAATATTTATATGTATCAAAATAGAGTAAAAAAACTGAGTTATGCAGTAAACAGGTATAATCATGACTGGGTATAGATTTTAAATCGAAAACAGCGATAGAATAGCAAGAAAAGGCCCCTAAGGGTCCAAACAGCACTGGCACAAGGCCCAATTTATGGCAATCAGCCCAATTTACAGAAACTCTTTCTAAAACATATATCATATAGTTTCAACAAAAATACGCAACTTTATAGTAGCTACGGAATAACCAAGTCACAATCCCCAACAGTGCACGCCCACACGCCCGTCACCTAGCATGTGTGCCACCTAGAAATAGTAGAATGATACGAAATCTGGGGTTTCATACCCTCACGACTAGATTTACAATCGTTACTAACCTCAAACCGGTCAAATCTCTACCCCGAAA